TCCAGTGCACAGTTACCGTACGCATTTATATCTTGCCAATTTGTGCATTTTAAACGAAAAGCTAGTTCCGTTTCACGAGAAGAAAGAAAAACAGTTAGACTAATTTTATTAGCAGAGGCCTTCTTTGACATAACTTTATGCTTCTACAGTAAATAGAAACACACAGAAAAACCCTGGAAATTCAGCAAAGAAGAAAAAAAACATTTTTGGACTGCAGCAGTATGTATAAAACCAGCCAAATCAAAAACAGAGAAATTTAAAAGTGGAAACGCAGACCAAATCTCCAGTAGAATTAACACTGAAAGCTGCTGCAAAGCAACTGTCAGCCTTGATTTTGAGTCTACAGTGTAATTATTTTCATATAGACTCTGCTTTTTTTTTTTTTTCTTCAATTTCTGCTTCAAAAATAATTGTTCCACTTTGGCAACATAAAGATGTTACAGCTTTACACAGCAGGTTTTATGCTGCCTCCTTACACGTATTTTTTTTTTCCTGCTGTACTGATCCTTTGTAGTTTATAGCATGATTTTTCCCCTTAAAAATTATTTAAAAAGAAATAAATACCATAAAATTAGAAGGAACAGGATTCTATAATAAATTAATCTTAGACTGAGAATAGGAGTTGGAGGGCCAATACCCTGCTCTGTCACAGAGTCACATAAGCCTGCAGTATATCCAATGATTCAAAGTTCCTTGATACAAAGGGGGACAGAAGTGTCTATTGCTCTCACAGACAAATCGTCGTCACTAAGCAAACAAAGAAAGGAGCCGCGTTACTTTATAAATGAAACAAATTTGTTATCTGCTCCCCAATAACCTCAGAAACAAACAACTGAAGACCCCCCCCCATACCCAGACCTACGCATAACGTATCTGAGATTTAATTTCTTCAGGCTGATGTCCAATAACTCTCCCGGCCCATTTCTTTCAGGCACAAACAAGTTGCTGGTTTGTATGAGTGTATTTTAATACTAACCAAAGCTGAAAACTGATATGATAACTGCAGAAGAAGATTTGCAGCTACTATTTTATATTCCTTTAAAGAAGGGAGGAGGGAAGGGAAGGAGGCACTGGAGAAAGACACAAATAGGCAAGTCGAACGTGGTCAGTTTAAATGCATAAACACAACGCTTTGTGCACTTGCCAGACAGACACATACCTATAGATACAAGCTTGTGTGGAATATGACCACAAGTTCGGATCTACGGGTTTGTGGCAACAGGCATTGATCTCTTCTGTTATTTGTTAATCTTAGAAATTATTTTTTTAAAAGAAAAACCATTTCTGCAAATGAGAGAGCTGTTAGTAAGTAGCAGCCGTCATTCTCCTCAGCATGTTAAAACCCCCTCTTTTTCAGGGACAGGGGGAAGGACAGAGGGGAAGAGTAGCTTATTGACCATGCTATAACATTAGCTGTTACTACAGTTTCTTTCACTCCCAAAAATCAGCAAAATAAAACAAATTATAAAATAAATAAAACAAAGTGAGAGATCTCTGTTTCTTTCTCATAGCTACTTAGCTGGATGGAATTACTCGTGATCACACAATTACACAAGAACTAATGGAAAAAAAGTAGTATATCCGTAACAGTGTAACAAATTATCAAACAGGAAAGATCTTCTCTGTATGCACAGTTGCAATACATAGGCAGACCCCCATCCCACAAAGAGTCGTTTTGTTTCCATTCTAGCAGCCCAGTTAAAAGAGACAGAGGAAACAACTACGTAAAAGTTGTTTTAACGTTCAGAGAAGTCATTATTGGTCTAGGGTGTTATTTTAATTCTTGTTTTTAAAGAAAAGAAAATTCAACCATGAGTAAAAATCCTTTCACTTTACTAGCCAGCCTAGAAACTGCTCCTAAACTCCAAATCTCTGCTGCAGCTGACTGCTTTTCTACCTAAAATGACAGAGATGAACACAAAACTGCTTTAGGCTTTTCTAATAAGTCTTCAGAAATAGTTTTGGAGCAACCTTTTGCCACTGCAAGTGAGAATTGTCTCCTCCTTCCCCTGAAGCTTCCAAGTTTTCCTTCCTGTGTAACTAACGTTTCCCATTAATGGAATGTTTTTGGGTGGGCAACTGCTGCAAAATTTAGGCCCAGCAGTAGTCCGGCTGTAAGCTCCAAATAGAATCTGTGAACAAAATTAGTGAGATGAATTGTTCCCTAAAGCATCAAAAAAAAAATCTCCACTTTCTACCTCTTCTCTTTCTTCAGAAGGTAAACTAAATTAACGCAAGCTAATACGATTCTTTACAAGATGAAATGGCCAACACTTGGAAGATAGTTTTGCTGTATAGATGCTTTTAAGAATTTCCTTAACTTTCCTTAACTAGTAAATACACAATTAAAATTAATTACAATTTTCCTTTATTGGAACTACTGCTTGGGTCTGATTGCTAGAAACTCCTGTTTCATTCAGTAATAGAGATGTTAAACTCTGGTCATCTTTCCAAAGATTACCTAAATGAATTGTCTAAATTTAGATTCCTACGCTTTTACTTAGATACCTACCTTAAAAGTATCCAGCTTTTCCAAAGTTTTCAGCACCCAAAATTTCCATCCAAATCATACCAAGAGGAGGAGCTGCAGGGGTTCAGCATCTTTGAAAAATGAGGACAACTTTTATGTAGGAGCCTAAACACAATTTAGGAGCACCTAAAATTCACAAAGTTCTGGCCCTGCAAAGGGTGTACAGCAGTCAAGGACACGGGTGGGAGAGCCATGGGGAGTCCTGGCTGCAGAACAGAGCATATCATGCACACGTGCATGTCCTATGCACTTCTCCAGCACTGAACTGCAAACAGAATAGAGCAAATCTTACCCTACCAGAAATAACCCAGGCCCTCCGCCACAAAGCTGATTTACTTCAGGGAACCTAAGATGAAAACTGAAATGATCTCTTGGCCCTTCTAGGCTTCTTGCCTAATAGGCACAACATTAGGAGTTAGCAATGCTGCTGCTGCATGTGGCAGTATTTCTTGCAATGGCAAGGAATGTTTCCATTAGATTTTTGCACGTCACTTATATTGTGATATAGTACTGCATAACTGAGAACGGTTTCTTCATGATTATATTAATTTTGACCTTAATATTCTTTACAGTAATGTACATATGTGAAGGTACGTTAATTGCATGTCCATCTCTGCTGGCAGAGAAATATCTTATTTTTTCACACGAGATAGGAAAGTAATGGCCTCACAGAAGTGCACACATTATACGGAAGTTAAATTTTTACTAGGTTTTCCTAATTCTAAAACTTTATTTTCCCCTAATAGCTCACAATCTCATTTTCTAATTGCTAGGACAGTTCAAGGCCTTGAAGGAAACGGAGATGCAACATTTGGGTAGCTTGTACATAGCTCCGTGTGGTATGACGCGTGGCCTCAATTTGTACTGGTTTGAATGCCAGTTGCAGGCATCCAATACACTTAAGCAACTCATCTTCATTACTGAATTATCTTAGCTCTTTTCAAACACAGTATTAAGCTAGATCTCCTAGGAGCCCATCACATCCTTGTAAAGGCAGATGATAGGTGTTGACCCATAAGGAAAATACACCCTTTACTTAGGTCCCTAAATGAGGGCCAAACTCTGCCATAATTTTGGCCTACCATGTCTTATCTTCCTGCTACCTGATTGGCTTTTACAAAAAAAATTTTTTTCAATTAAAAAAAAAAAAGGTTGTAATGAGTGTTAGCCTCCACTGCCACAACTGCAGTTGTTAAAAAAGGAAAAAGAGAAAAAGAGAAAGCAGTAATAACTGTATCTAGAAAAGCAACCATGCATGTCAAAGCAACACTGTTTATCACTCAGGCAAGTCCCTACAATAAATCTGATGGATGACCTCTGCCCTCCTGTGAGCTCCAGAGAAAGGCAGTTTGGTGGCACAGAGACTTCGTTTAGTGGCACCTATACGCTGTAGAAGACAAGCGTCCAGGAACCGACCTACTCCTAGTCATACAATTTGCCAAACAAACTCATCACGGGCAATTTTTGACACAGTAAACTGAAAGACGCAACAGCAAGTGAACAGGATTTTGTTTGGGGGGGGGAGGAGGGGAGAGATGGGTTTGAGGGTTTTTCGGAATAGACATTGCTTTTTTTAAAAAACAGTTTTCACATATGAAATATATTCAGGGAGACAGAGAGAGCCGTAGATTATACAGGATCTGGGTTTGGAAACATTTCCCCACATTGATTAATCATACAGCTATTGCATCTTTTGAGATCCTGATGAACATACACCCAGTGGCAGAAAATCTATGATAGGCAAACAAATCAATCGTCTTCGCACCGAATTTGCCTAGAATGTTAAGGTTACAAATAAAAAGCTTCAACCTGTACCTTAAGGATTGTGTTATTTATATTAAGCAATGTGCTATCCTTATATTAAGGATACTTTGCCTCACTATTAATTTTGTAATAGGTCAGTGATCATAACATCAACAAGGTTTTGGTTCCAGGACCTGGGACACCAAAAGAAGTAACTCACCTTTCTTTAGTATTAACCCAATATAAGGCGGGCACTTTCCAGATTTACAGTCAATGGAATAATACAGAAGGAAACATGTAGAAATAAAGTCTCTAAAGGCATAACATTGGTTTTGGTCTGCGGGTGGTATTCTTGCAAACCACAAAGCATAAATGCCCTGTCCAGGAAAATCGATCACTATGGAATGCATTGTGTGCCTGAGCAAAAGGCTGTTTGCAGCCATTTCATACTTCAGCCATGAAAATGAGACAAATAAGAAACACAGTCACTAAATAATTCCTAGCCTCTTCCTCTACCCCTTCCCCCCACTTTTAGTTCCCACCGACTTAGGCCTTTAAATATATGAATATATATATTTATATACATATACATTTTGATATACACATACACGCACACTGTCTTACGTTTAAAAACCTCTATCAATAGAGTGCTGCACTTCACATAATTTAAAGAAACGTTAAGGAAAAAGACAACACTAAATGGAGAATCTAAGAGAAACCAAGTTACCTCAGGGGCAGCGCTTTACGGGGTTTCTTATCGAACGTGCGCTGCCATATTGCTAGGCCCAACTCTTCAAGAAACGTAACCTGGAAGACAAAATATTTATGGATATTTTCATGGCAAATTTTCAAGAAATGGATTCTACCTTTATATACCCAGAGACCACAGTTTCAGAACAAGAAGCAAAAAGAACAGACGAGGTCCTGAGAGAGAGATTGCCCCCCCCCCCCGATACACCACTTTGGGGGGGAGGGGGATTATTTCCCTTGCCACATCTTGGATCAAGCCACTCCTGCCCTCCCCCACACGACGAGTTAAATCTCAGGACATAAAACATTTCTCGTAACGCAACCATTTAAGAAGTTTGCCAGTTCTATTACCACCAAAGCGATTAAGAAAAATAAAGCGACGTGGAGGCTGAAACAGCAAATGCATTCCTGGTCGGTTAGTTACACGCATCAACTTCTTAAACTGATTAGTTATCATATAGAGATCCCTATCCAATTAAGGCTTGATAAAACAGAATCAAACAGGAGGATCGTTACCTGCTTCTGAGAAGGTTCACCAAGCAAGCATTTTAAGCTTTTTGACTCTTTTAACACTGATACAAGGAATAATTATTTCTCTCTGCCGATGCGATTGTTAAGAGAGGAGAAACCCCGGATTGCGGTGCCTTCGTGGATGCTATTCTTTTTGCACCACAGCAGGATTCTTGGCTGCCAGTCCAAGCTGCTTGCCAAGTTTTAAGATGCCGGTTTTGCCTTTCATTTTATTGTTCCTTTCGCAACGTTAAAGACCGACTTAAAAAACCATGCACAGCTGCTCTGAAGGGGGGGGGGGAATTATTTGAATTTTGCACAAGAATGGAGATGAGGAAGGAGCGCGCTGTGATGTAACCACAACGACACCCACAGAAATATTTCCAATATTGGGGGGGGGGGAACGGACTCCGCCCCCGA